AAAGTTAAGTCGATGCGTACGTATCACGTAAATTAAGTCCATATGATGGGTGAGTACATTTGCGACTTCAATGTGTTTGATTGGGCTTAAATTAAGTTAAATTTACATTTGGATTTCTAATTTTGCCAAATATATTTTTTAAAGATAATTTTTTCGCTAAAAAAATTACTTTTTTTTAAACAAATGTATGTCTCGAAAAAAAAAAAAGTTTTAAAATTAGTTTTGGTCATACTGGACTATGGATCATTTGTCGTAATAATTGATGAGGAAATTAGGCCATGCAGCGTTTTTAAGATGCAAATTTGAAAAATTCAAGTTTTTAATTTCATTGAAAAATAAGGCTAACAAAATTAAAATGATTGTAACTTCAATTATTTTTGAAGAAAATGTTACAATAATTTTAACTTTCTCAGAAAGAATTGTAATTCTCACAAAATTGTAATATACCCCAATTCACTGACCATCCAGGCCCAATGTGGGCTGGACCATTTCGGAAAACTAATGACAATTAATCCAGAGACAATTACATTTAAGACCCATTATAATTTTCAATTTCAAAAATCAAGTACTTACCATTTTTATTTCTTTCAAAAATCAGATTATAATGTTATGAAAAAGAGAAGAGAGAATAAAAATCAATAGAATTTTATATTATATTGAGAACCAAATTCCATATTTATGGGGAAGAATTAGGGATACAATGATAATAATTTCTAGGGTTGATGGATAGAATTTTCATTCATTAATAAACTTACCATTTACAATACAGCCCATTGAATAACATATTATAAACTATTTGTCTCGTTAAAACATTATTTGATAAACATTCAATAGAAAAAAAAATCAAATGAAAGAAAAAAAGTACAATTATTTTGGAGTATTAAAAATCAGTCTCATTAAAACTTTGTTAGGAAAATCCAGTGAAATAAAATCTAAGAGATTAGAAAAGAATATAACTACTCCCCCTGATATTGATTACTGAAAATCTTTTAAGTCGATGCATTCAAAACTCGTGATCTAATTTTTTGAATGTAAATGTCGACAGTGCTTTTGTGAGTAAATCAATTATATTGTCACTTAAACGAATTTGTTAAATATTGATGTCACCATTCTTCCGAAACTCATGAGTATGAAAGAATTTTGGAGAAATATGATTTGTCATGTCACCTTTGATAGCCTCATTTGTGTTGTGTAATATAAGTTGCATTGTCTTCATACAAAATTGTTGGATTATCTTTCGTTGAAGTTAATCTGTATTATGTTTGAATATGATGTGTCATGTTTCTCAACCATATACATTTTTTCCCAATTGATGGATTGCAATAATTCCATAATGATTTGAAGATGTTGCATCAAGGTTTGTTTCACATATCTTCATGATATAGCTATTCCTTCACGTGTAAACACATATCT